TAAGATTAATAAAATATAATGCTTATTCACAATTAGGTGACTAACTTCGTTTAGTAAATTCATGTGAGATCAGCCTGGACGTAACCAGATGTACGCCTCTTACAGGCACTAGTCGGTAAAACTAGTTCTCTACGATGCAGATCACTAGATCTGATCTCAAATATTTCATAGAAGAGCGATAATCGCTAGGAGATCTGAACTGTGAAGTCCAGATGCTCCTCAGGGCTGACACCAGTTTGTCAATTATGTTCCGCGGACAAACACGCGAGTGAGATCCGATTCGAAATCAAATTAAGAGACATCTTAATTAAAAACGAAATAATAAATTTAATAAAACAAAGGAAATAAACTCATACAAAAATCTTAATGAACGAGAGATAGAACCACTACAAATAATATACAAATCGAGAGATATCTAAGATTATATTATACCCTATTCGCGATCGAGAGAGAGAGCTCACAAAATCGTTATAAAACATACAACCTGTTCTAGTTGTCGTTCGTCTTCTTCTCTGTATGCAAGGGACACTTTGGAGATAAAGTTCATTTATTTCTTCGTATGGGAGATCAATATGTGCACAAAATCCAAGTATGGTTTCTAAGTGCTAACTCTGGAATTATTCTGTATGTGACTCGTCTAAGGACGTTGGTCATCAGGAGGAAAATGTGTGGAGTTTTGGACGCTTCCAGAACTGTCGCTGAACCCCTCCAATTCTGACAAATTCCCTGTATATCTTCTGAATTTCGACCAATCATCGGCCAGTAACTCTTTCATGAGAACGGATGAAAGGGGAATGAATGAGGGGTAACCATTTCCCATCTGAGCAGAGTTTTAACCAGATAAGGGAAAGTCAGAGGATGTTCTAACTTCTGTGAAAGGAAAATAACATCTGTGGTCTGCAATTTTCCTACATTAAAACAGTACTTTTCTCACCAAAAATGAAGTAATATTTGGTGACAATATTTAACATAATTAATAAATTATTAATTTAGACCCAGGGGCCTTTCGGGTCTCACATTCATTAGGAATGTAAACTAATAAGAAGACTGTAGTTATTTTTCTCAGTTCTTAAACTCCAAATTCTTGTCATTTTTTAACTTAAATATTTTTATAGAAGTTTTGTTAATAACAATCGTTTCATTTTTTAGAAGTAATTAATAATTCACAGGTTTAACCAATATCATGCACTTATATAAAGTAGATTTGCACGAGTTAAAAATTAATTATATTAGTAAATTTTCGAACACCTGATGTAAGGGAAGGTGCGGGCTAACAAATATTACGTTTTAATTTTTTTTTCATGTAGAACGTTTATGCGGAAGCTAGTCTCTCTGAATCCCTGGCGTTAATACAACCATCTTTTAATTTACTTTTACATATTTCGATTTATTCTTTGTGCATTGCCAATGATGGAAAACGAATAATCGCTTCGTTCTATAAACCACAGAATTCTCTGCTTTTTCCTTTCTGGATAATACTGTGTTGCAGTGCTTTTTCTTAATATCGTATTTGTGTTCCTTAAGTCTGGTAGGCAAATTTTTTTGTGACCCTAATATAGTTCTTCTTAATTCCTAATTCCTGAATTTCAAACGGAATTTTATATACGCCTGGGTTTTTTTTTCTTTTAAGCATGTCTTTATCATTTCTTAAAATACTGTATATATTCGGTGCTCTTTTGAAAATCATTTTTGAGTGTTTTCTGTCGGATACTTGTTTCATGATGTCTTTAATGTTTCGATCATACGTGAACTTGGAGGTTTTTAAAGTGATTTGCTTGGGTTTTTAATACATTGCCTCCTTCATATCTTTTAATTAGTCCTGGTATTGTACTTTTTTTATATCCCAAGTTTGAAGCTGTTTCTTTAATTCTATTAAGTTCTTTGATCCTGTCCAGCACATTTGAGCAATGTGAATACGCTATTCTGATCGATTAATCGCGATAATTAACTACAGCTGTCAGGCGGTTTTGTCGTCACCACGTCTCTCCAGCAGGCGCACGTGGTGCAATAGGTACTGTACTTCCAAATCTCACAATCGCTTAATTACAGATCGTATTAGATCACAGATAAACCATTTCTTGAAAAAATAAAGTCTAATTAAATAAACAATTACTGCGAATTTTTCTTGTAAACAATTAAGAAATGCTGATATCTGAGTTCATAATCATACTTCCTAACTTCGAAGTTACGTACCTCAAAATCCGTAAATACGATTCTTGCAAAATTTTCTATTTACGTTCTATAGCAGGATCTAACCAAACCGTGTGATTCCCATTTTCGGGTTGTGTATTTTCTACTAGAGACGTGAGAAGAAAAACACACCCAATGGGAGTCGACTCGCAGACACTTTGTTCTATGATATTTTGAAAAATTCCGAAAAATTCTTATATTTATTTTAACTTGTTGAGTTGGAAAAAGTGCGATTTGTATTTTCCTAGTTTTGAAAGGTCTATCAGACACTAGTCAAAGCTTTGCGTATACGAAAAAAGTGTGCTTGCTGTTGTCTTTTAAAATACTTTCTATTGTAACTTATACAATAATAAAAAGAAGCAATGTTTGAAAAACTGGAGAAAAATAATAGCAGAAGATTTCTTAAACGTAGTAATTACTGTACGCAATATAAGAAATAGACGAAGCAATATACAGGCATTTAGGTATTTGGCATATGAAGCATGGTTTTGAGCAACATGCAAAAATAAAATTTCTATCATATGACGTTTACGAGTAAAATACACACAATGTAAAGTCGATAGTAGAGACATAATTTAATAAATTTCTAACTAAAACAAGAGAAGTACAAAGTTGTACAGTGAATGGATATACAGGAAATAAGGAAACACCATTGGACCAACTAACTTCTAGTATTTATTTGTTTTTCGATTTGTCGAGTGCATCAAAATCGTATGGTAAGTCAACCGTTTCTTTTTCTAAATCTTTATTCTTTGTCCTGGGAAAATTTGGCTTTTGTGAATATTTCAGAATACAAGAAATACACTTGCACGACATTATCAGATAATTCTGTATTAAGAAGTAGCAGATATGTGTGGGACTTGAAGCAAAAATTATTAAGCTTCGAAGAAGATAAATAAAATCGTGCCCTTCACATACACACATTAACGTGCATACAACAGAAAATACTCCGATTTTTTCTTTTTTTTTTCTTGAATTTCTTGGAGTTTTACGGTCTTTCAAGTTTAAAGATGTAAAATCTGAGGGAGGTCATGTTTGACCAATTGCTATATTTTTCCTTTAATATAACATATAATTATATAAAGTTTTGGGTTATCTGTGGAAGCGGTTTAATATTTTGAAGTACAACTAATTTGTGACACATTATTTATACTTATCTAAGAATTAAGACTTCATATTTATCTAACAATCTCACTTATTTCAAACTGTTATTTCTCTATTATAAAAAGTGACGTGAAAAAGAAAATCATTCGAAAATTTCGGACTTTTTATCCTTATATTTCATTGCTATTTTAAATCGAAATGTCTGCAGAATGTAAATAATAGTTCTTTTCTTAATCTGTGCGATAGAAATTTAAGAAATCGCAAAATTAAAAGATAATCCTTATTTGCATTCGCGACTTCTATTCAACCGAATGTTTAGTATCATTAATTACATTAAATTATAAGTAGTTCTAATTGTTAAAACTGCATAATAAGACTGTATCCCGGAATTATTAAATTGATCGAGAGATAAGTCTGTAGTATTTTATTATATATGAGGAAGGGTTATTTACACATTACAGTACATAAAAGAATAATTTACTAGCTGTACAACAACCAACCTACATATATAAATATCAATAGGATGAAGAGAGAAGCAAAGATAAAGAGGAGTGTACGAAAACGCTGGCACACTTTCTCGTTACCCGTTTAATGGGTATATTGAAGAGAAGATAGCAAATGAAAAGTCAAATATATAATAACAAAAGAAAAAAAAATGCATTTCACGAGATACGCTGATGATGCGAGAACAATGAAGAATAGAGAAAGAGATATTCAATATAATTCAAATGTTAAGTATACTGCACAAAAACTCGCATTAATGCGGTTTAAGATAAATATTAAGGAAGCAAAAAGTATGGAAAGATAAGAATAGGAAGAAGAAAAAAAATTATCTAAAAGATTTCAATGCTTCTGTGAAATTTCGAAATTATTTATGGGGTTTGATAAAGACGAGAAAAATCTGTCCTTGTTGTGAGAGGTAAAGAGAATATGAAAAACGAAAACAATCTTAAGAAACACTCAAATTTTTAAGTGGAAATTTTCCAGGTGTGGGAAATCCAAAAGAATTTGGCATATCTGAAAGATTTATTATAAATTAAATGAAACTCTATTGGAGAGAAAGCACTAGTTTCAGCTTTACTAACAAATAGCTTTAGTAATAGATAAAGAGAAAAACGATAATTTTCGTGTAAAGTTCGCGATACTTTGCTACTTGCTAATTATAAAAGTTGTAAAGAATTAATAGAAATTTATCGCATCCGTGTTTGAAAATTCTGAACCGTGCGTTAATAGAAGTATTAACCGAGATTATGATACAAAAAAGTCACATTAAATTTCTAACGTAATCTGTTAGACAACGCATGTACAGTGGTACCTCAGGATACGAAATTAATCCGTTCCGAAACTGAGATCGTATCATGAAAATGTCGTAAGGTGAATCAACTTTTCCCATACGATTACACGTAAAACCAAATAATTCGTTTTAACGCGAAAAACATACTCAAATTAAAGCCAAGTAATACATTTAAAAAATAACTGTAGTAAGGAAAACAAATGAAAAATGTGAACTAATGTAACGTCGTATGGTGAGTTTTTGTTCGTATCGTGGAGCAAAAATATGTTCGAATTTCATGTCGTATCCTGAAAATTTCGTATGCTGGGGCGTTCGTATCTTGAGGTACCACTGTATCACAAAAACATCACAATCGGCCTTAAACATTATGACGAAATGAAATATGACGTATTAGTGCAATTTGTAGAAGTACACAATAAGAAGCAAGGTTGCATGCTAATAATTTTATTTTCTTAAATTCATATTACATTGTTTAAATTTAGAATAATGATGAAATCGATTTCAAATTAGATTACGTATTTAATATTTTGTATTATTTATCAGAATATTACTTATATCAATCGTTGATTATATCTTACGCTTTAGGCCTAATGCTAAGCAGAAATCTGGAACTTCTGGAGTTGTTGTTCCAAACGAACCGTCTAATAAAGTATCTAAAATTCCTCCAACAACTTTTAAGACATATTCAAGAAAGTCTAATAAATCGTCACAATCTATTTCGTTACTAAAAAGTAAATTAAGATATATACTGAGACACTCCAGAAGTTTCGTAAGACATCCGTCAATGTAATCCAAGCAATCTAAGTTATGAAGCTGATCGAGGATGCAACCCAAATAACTAGTAATATTATTAAGTGTCGGACAGAGCTCGTTCATCGATGCCAATGGGTCACTTGAGTTTGTACCACAATTATCGCATCTGTCCTTGCGACCAAATCTGTCTTGGGTATCGCCTCTTAAATAGATGCTACCGAGTTGAAGATGGCATTGGTCCAAATTTATCATAAGCTGAGAAAAGAAAAAAAGGATTATTTTCATAAATATTAATTGATGATTATTTCCAATGTATAATTTATAAAATTATAATAAAATTAAATTTATTAGATATTAATTTAGTAAAAAAAATAATTACTTTATAAATTTCATAATAAGATTTTATCAAGTTTGTTTTTAAAAATAAATTATTGTTTTATGGCAAACAACTTTTATTTATTTATTTATTCATTTTCAAGAAAAAAAAAAAAAACTCAAATATCAAAGGAAAAGATAAAGTTATTATTCTTCACCACAAAAATTGCTGATTCTCAAACTTATTTTTGAAAGATTTCAGGACAGACACGAAGACGTACGACTAATTTTATTAAATTTCAATTTGTTAATTGTTTTTTTTTTTTTTATTTAAGGAGACATTTGAAATTGCGTTATATAATGAATAAAATTTCTATTAATTCTAATAAAAATTAATGCCGAAATGTAGAATTAATTAAAGTATTATAAAATTGAATTAATGCGAAGAAATAAAATCAGATATAAAACTTAAATATTTAATTATCAAGTAAATTCATAAACTTTTATTATTATTGCGGGTAAAAAAAAAATAAATATTTGCAACTAAGAAAAATAATAATAATTTCAAATTTTATTAAATAGAAAAATACGTAATACTTACCTTGCCTAAGATACATTCTAAAAATCCTTCAATATCCAAGTTCAAATTGTTTAGTATCCCAAGAAGTGTGACTAAATTGGGGTTACTTGAAGGCATTCCAGGAAAGAAAATTCGACTTGAATCCTTTTTAAAATTAAATTTGTCCTTCACATTTTGTCCACCTCTCACACCGTCGACAGACCCTTTCTTGCCTTTATCAAATGAAACATCTTTCTTTATTCCTTTCTCAGATGCTTCGCTGTTTGCTACGACTGCAATTCCTAACAAAAATGTCTTTCATTAATTTTAATTTATGTCTAGTCAAGTTAATTAGCACAATATAAGTTTAACCATTGAAAATTAAACATTAAATCATATTTTAAATTGATTTTATTTAACAATAGAGTGGTGCTGGTCATACACCGTACAGGGGCGAGATTGAATTTAAATATAATGGCTTCCAGTTTTCATGGGACGTTCGAATATAGTTAGTCGGGAACTGCATTTTCCTTTTGTGTTAATCTAGTCTCATCTTTCATATGTCTAAAAAGGTTTTCGAGAGTAAGGTGAGACGGACGAACGACAGTGAAAATTTATAGGTCTACAATTTTTTAAGTTGCAGCCCAATTGGAAATTTAAAGATTACAGAAAATACTTTACTTACCAACAACGACCAGTAGAAAGAGGATGGTTTTCATGTTGCTTTCGGTTTGTTGATCGCCGAAATGTGCTTTAACTGCAGTCTTCCATGCCTTTTTATAGGAAAATTTTGCGTAGGATTGCGTGAATTCAGCGCTATTTCTCCTCCCACCTGTCAATCCGAAATTTTGACATTGCAGATGGTATTTAGAATTTCGAATCCAATGAAATTACATCATTTAATTTACGTAGATTTTGCCCGTCCCTTTTCGTTTCATTTTGTATCCGGTGGTAACGCTTTACGGATCTGCACGAAAATATCCTTTAAATCGGCGATCAGAATTACCACAAGTTAGTTTAATTACCATTATGTTTATTTTAATATCTCATTAATGCAAAATGGGAGAGCATTAGATTCGTTGTTAAAGCAATGGAGCGAATTTTTTATGTAAAATATTTTATAAAACAAATCAAATTTCCACTTGAAGAGTCTTCAACTGTATTATATTTAAGACGAGAACTTGTGGTTAATAATGTTATTTTCTATTTTCAAATAACAAAATGCAGAAAAATAAATAATAATTTATTTTTAAATTAAAATAAATAATAATTTATTTATCTGCACATGAAAATTAAACTAAAAAAAGCGTAAATTATTTAATTTAATCGCTCCACAAGAAAGTCCACTTATAAGCCCAAATTAAATAAATATTAGGCTATATAAACTATTTTGTTTTCTTACAATTATTTAATAATTAAATATATATATATATATTTTATTACAACTACAAGGTGTGATAAGTCTGTACAATGGGCTACATCAAAAAGC